TTATCAATAAAATTTTAAGATAAAAGAATCCCTACATGAGACATTATTTGCTGTACTTTCACATTTGGGGTTGGTAGAAAGTGAGGTCATAGAGTAGGGGTCACTGTATCGTTGATTCAGGGTGGGGGTGAAATACTTGCAGTAGTCCTGCTCACATTAGCAAAAAAAAATTAAGTCAACCAAATAGCTTACAACCATATCATGTTGAAACACCAGTTCTTGAATATTCAGCAAAGTTAAGCAATGTTAAGCCTGGTTATTATCTAGATGGGTGACTTCATGTGAATATCAGGTGTTGTAAGCTTGGATGTATGGATGGTATAATTGATAATAGCTCAGAATTGGAAATCAGAGAGCTGAGTTCAAGTTTCAGTCATGTTTGTTATATGCACTTACATAAAAGTACCCTTGAGAAAGGTGTGAATTCAACCAGCTATGGGTTAATTAATAGGTTTACATTATTATCATCTCCGACAAAAATTCTTATAATCTAAGAATATTTTCTGGCTTGAAATAAACTACAAAATCAATCTCTACCTATAAAAGGCAGGATGTGTGTGTGGGTGTGTAACGAATGCATGGCCACAATTTTCGACGGATTTGCACCAAAACTTACATGCATATGCTCCAAATTAGTGGGAAGGCCAAGACTGACTTTGCATTTCCCAACTCCCATCGATAGTAGAAATAATCGATTTTTTTCATGCTTATACGGCAGTTTTCATGTAGTTTGCAGCCATTTTGTACTGGCCAGAGTGAGAGCCTATAGCTGGCTGCCATGAATAACAGGAAGATTCTATTGGCCAGCGTGAGAGCCAATAGCTGACTGACACGAATGTTAACTAGCATGCTAGCATGCAAAAAAAAAAATCGATAGCTGCATTTGTCTACAAGTGGGAAAATTTAAATCTGCATGACACTTTACTCCAATTGGCTCATATTAAACTTGCTTAAACTCAACGTGGATTCTGATTCTGCAGAACTGGGTTGGGTGTGAAAAAAAGCATTTGTTGTTAACATTCTTTTTTTCATTCGGTTTTTCCAGTTATGAGTCCTTTTTAAAGCTGATTGTTTTGTGTTCATTTTGTTTAGTTCTTTTTTTCGTAACAGATTTAATGTTTTAGTATAGGGCTTAGAAAAATTTACAGTGAGATAGGCAAGAAGTAAACGCATATAGCAGCATCAGCATGGCAAAGGGCACTCCTTTAAAGGCAAGGAAGGGCAAAAATATTTTAAGTCAAGTGGTAGCTATTGAGTCGTATGATTTTTGAATCAAGCACGGGCATCGCTGGGCGATGCTGCTAGTCAATCAATAAAATTACACACAAAAGACAACAGTGATCAGTTACAAACATGACCCCCTCAACCATTTTGACTATAATCAATAAGCACCCAGAGATTAGTCCAACTAAGGTGCAAATCAAAGAATTCAAATAAAATTTTGGGCTGTAGAATGCATACATGATATCTCTGCAGATGTGCGTCACTTATAGGGACATTATTATTATAAATAAATAGAAATTAAATATTAAATAATAACAATGAAAATTATAAATAAAATGTTAGATAAACAAAAACACTAGAAAGCAAGACAAATTATGGAAAAGTACATAAATAAACAAACACAAATATCTAAAAGATTGTTAATTTTCGAAAAGATAGCAGAAAGAAAAAAATGAAAATATAAATCAGGATTTAAGTGCAATAAATACTATAATGTACATCTTATTGTATACCTATGGTTTAATTAGTAGAACTTGTATCAGAAAAACATTATTATCTCCAAAATACAATTTTTTTTAATCATTACCCCAAAAAGGCAATCACCAGAGCCCCTATTAAAAAGTGCTGTGTCAGACTGTCCTTTGTAGGCCCTAACAGAACGTGGTTCAGATGGCATAGCTCTGATACTACCGTTTACACCCCCCACCAACTGGGTGAGGTAAGGGTTGGACTCTGGTGAAAATCCAAGGAGCCGCCTGCAGACGAACCGGTGGCCTCTGGTCATTTGTCTACTCTCGTCTGTAGAGAACCCATTGGCAAGAAAGAAGCGTTATCCGAGTAGGCCTGGGTACCCTACTTCTGTAATTTATCCCAAGAATCTTCTTCTCACAACAAGAAGAAGCCGGCTCAATCCGCCCAGGGTGAATGCCGCATCAGGACAGGACAGGAAGCAAGGCAATAGAGCCACTAGAACAAAAGGGGCTACTGAGCATTAGAGAATATACAAAACAAAAAACAAAAAAAACTACTATGAATGGGTTAGAACAATAAAAGAACAAAAATTAAGAAGACAGAAAATAACAATTGACATTGCATTTAAATTTTTGAGGATTGAAGTTGACTGGGAAACAAGAAGCTGAAAGAGAGTTCCACAAGCGAGAAGTGCAATGGAAAAAAACCGTTAGCCTAGAACTTATGGTTACATCTAGCCATTTCAAGTGTAAAATGATGAGACCTTGCTGACAATCTAGTACTGCACTTAAATTCATAAAGTCTAGGTACCACAGTGAAAAGTTCATCAGAACAATTGCCATAAACATTTTTATACAAAAGGGTACAGGGAAGCTACATTATGGTGGTGGGACAGAGACTGAAGCTGAGATGCCAGGTCAGGACCAATGACATTGCAGATTCTTCTCTAAAAATATAGCAGGAGTAAAAGACCAGATGTAGCAGCAATATTCAAAGGAAGGACAAATGGTAGACTTATAAAAATGCAAGATAGATTCTGTCAAGAAAAATTGTCTAGCATGACATAGCGAACCAATTTTCTTAGCAGAAGACTTGGCAATTGATTCAGTATATTCTTTCCACTTCATGACAGCTGAAAACTTTAGTCTGAGAAGGTGCAGTAACTCACTCTCTTGGACTCTATCTCTCTCTGATTCATCCAGTAGAGGTGAGTTCCAATTTCAGTTGGGTTAAATTCACTTACATGCAAATACTCTTAGGAAAGATTTGAATTCACCTCTTTACTACCCCAGCTATGGCTTAATTAGTAAAATTTGTATCACAAAAAAAAAAAGCAAAAATCATTATTATCTCAAAAAAAATTCTTACAATCTAAAAATATTTTCTAGCTCTAAATGACCTGCAAAGGTTGATAAGCCATAAAAAATGAATGAATAAGCCAGCCAAACTTACCAGATTGTTTGTATTTCATTTTTTTTTCTTTAGCTTTCCAATTTGTCAAATAGGAAAAAGATGATACAAAATGGCTGCTACTTTCAGACTCTTTTGAGATAGACAGATATCAAAGTGAAAAGTCCTCGCTCCTCGATTGAGTCTATGGTGTAGTTCAGGCTATTCAGACCATCCGTTTCATATTTGTGGTCTTTCAGAATCCTGAATCTACAAAAGAAAAAAAAAAACAGTTAATCGAGTAATTTGCTCTTAACTAATTTGGATTTTACTCTGATACACATGCGAGAGGGTGCTGAAAAATTTTCTCAGATTAAGACCAAAGCCTCTTGCCACTCTATTGCTATTTCCATGACAAATATTCTGATAAGCTTAATCTCACTAGTTCTGACCATCACAAATAAGACCTGTGATGACACGTACATTGGGACGAATTATCCCTTTGTAATCCATTAGTAAGGAGGAGGTGCCATTTGAACAGCTTTTTCCTTAGAATTTGCTACTTTGTGGAACAGACTCGTGGGAGGATGCTTCCTTGATCTGTATTATTTTAACCTCTTCAAGTCTAGGGTTAAGCATTATCTTTCCTACACATTCTTATAAAATGCACTTCTTACCTCCTCTTCTTATATTTATACAACAACCTTATTTAGTAACTCTCTAAATTGAGCGGCTCTTGTGCCTTGTTTGTGTGAAAAATTATTTTAAAAAATCTAAAAAAAAACATTCTCCAAAACTTCACTTCTTTCTTATGTTCATACAACACCACACAGTAACACTCTGCTCTTGAGTGGCTCTTGGGTCTTGTATTCGGGGAACATTAGTTAAAAAAAAAAAAAAAAAAAATTATAAGTCTCCCATTCATCTATACATTGAATATTGCTGCTATATCTGCTCCTACCATATATCTCGAGATTTTTGACAAAATGCAATATATCTCAAGATTCTTGACCAAATGCAATAGATCTTGAGATTTTTTAAAAAAGACCAGAGAAGGGAATGTATTGATCTTGACGTGGCATTTTGACATCAATCTCTGTTTTGTTGTAAATAGAAAAGATTGACATACATATAAAATGTAAGAAGTAGTTTATTCCAGAGAATAATATTAGTACATGGTTGAAAACACAGAGTAATGTAAAAAACAGTTAATAGTTAACTCCTTGGTATTTACTGGAGACCTCCCTATAAGGTGGGATGTGGCACAATACCAGTTTTTTTACATGGAGCATTCTGACCCCATAGGCTCAGGCAAAAATTCACCATATACTCTGTATATATAGGGTCAGCTTGCTGTCTACCATCCCAGAAAAGACTCTGCCCTTCAGCATAGCCTCGTCTTGGTTCCTCTCTGCCTCCAGGAAAAGAGGTGGACAAGCTCTAAGAGTTAATCATTTTTCAGTAAGAGCAAGTGCTGTTTAACTAGTCTTAGACCAGTCCATCTTGTGGAGGTGTTCAGCTACTCCACAACAATCTCTTTCCAAATGTCGTGGTGAGGCTTCCCTCTGTCTTTTCTAATGAGCTCTTCTCCTTGGTACCTCGACCACATGTACTACTAGTTGGCAAACAAGGCCTCATCATTTTAATGTTGAAATAGCTAGATATAACTTGCTTCCTTGCAAAAATTTAAATGCAACATCAATCGCCATCTTCTGTCGACCCAAATTGTGTTCTTTTATTGTCCTTTCTCTTTACTTAAATCTTCTCATTCTCTTTCACCTTCAGTAAACCGTGGAGTCCTAGTGGCATTATTGCCTTGCTTGGGGTAAAATGATTAAAAAAAAAAAACAAAATTAAATAAAAACAGTTACTTAATGTTATTCTGTATTCAAGAATTCTACTAATTCTATAAGGCCTATGGCCATGTCACATTGAAACACTAGTTCCCATATGAACACTGAAGCTAAGCAATGTTAAGCTTGGTCAGTATTTTGATGGGTAACCACTTGGGAATATCAGTTGCTGTAAGCTTGGATGTGCAGTTAGTGTAATGGATAATGGTTTGGAATTGTTAATTGGAGAGCCGAGTTCCAATTCCTGTTGGGTTTGTTATATTTACTTAGGCAAAAATACCCTTGGGAAAAAAAATTATCATGTAAGTTTTGGATCCCACCCCTGAAAAATAGAAGACTGCCCTTGAAGTGCAGCAGCTAAAGCAGCTATATAATTCCTGAAAGAAAGACAGAAACAGAAAGTAAGAAGACCTTTTCAACTCACCGATTTGGGTTAGGATTCTGTTTTACATGTTTAATCATCGTGTATCGAGAAATGTCCTCTGAGTATCGGAAAATGGATATCTTTTTCTTATTTACCCTAAAAGAAAATAAAAATATTTCCAGCATTTACTGTGTGTAACATTTGTAAATAAATTAAGCAAATTATACATCGAATAACCCAATCCTGTCAGTAACACTTGCACTTATTGACAAAAGAGATATTCAGAGTCTGTCTATATCTCTGAGATGAGGTATTATAATTACTTGCATTATTTACATTATTTAGACTGTTATCCTCATCTTATGCCATATTCATGATGTTTCAGCCATTGTTCACCCTGGACTTCTTCAGGTGATTGGAATTTTGAACCAAACCCTTTATTTTCTCCACTGGGGTGTCCTCAAGGATTCATGGCCTAGTGGATAAAGACGGTTAGATCTAGTGATTTGACCCAAAGAGTTGTGAGTTCAGTACCAGGCCATAGCAGTGGTGAACCAAAACTTGATGAGTTGAGTTAAAGGGAAATAACTGAGACACCCGGAAGTGGCATGGCACGTGGAAGTAGAACAATCTACCCTGTCTTATTCCATGTTTGCAGAATTTTCTTGCAGGAGACAGAGAAATATTAAATCTACATATTTTTAAATTATAAAAGTGGACATTGAGGTCAACACATAGTGGATAGTTTGATATGGGGCCCCACTCTCTACTAAATGGTGATTTCAAAAATTCTCAACCCAGAGGCCTCAAACCATTGAAGTAAAAATTAGGGGTGAAGTGCTTTTTTTTTAAATTACCAAAAATCAGGGAATTATCCAATATAATGAAAATTTCAGTACATGTTCATTAATTAGTCATTTTTACAATAATAAGTTTTTTCTTTTAGTAATAACTACCAATTTACTGCTTATATTTTTTGATTTTTTCCTTTTATACACATTTCACACTGGTGTAAGTTTTCTTTTGCATTCTTTGTGTTTGTGTGTGTGTGTGTTTGTACCCTGTGGTCATGCACCCATCTTCGTGCTTGTGTGTGTGTTTGTACCCGTGTGGTCATGCACCCGTCTTTGTTTTTCGTGTTTGTGCATGCGCTTGTAACTGTGCAGCCATGCACCAGTCTTGTGTTTTTCCTTTTATGTACATTTAACACTGGTGTAAGTTTTCTTTTGCATTCTTTGTGTTTTTGTGTGTGCTTGTACCCATGTGGTCATGCACCCATCCTTGTGTTTGTGCGTGTATTTGTACCTGTGTCATCATGCACCTGTCTTTGTCCTTCGTGTGTGTGCATGTGCATGTACCTGTGCAGTCATGCATCTGTCTTTGTGTTTGTGTGCTTGTGCAGATGGGCATATGTGTAGGGGTCATAATCATTTTACCCTTTCTTCATTGTTTTTTTTTTTTCATCTTAAACTTACTCTTTTGAATGATAGGAGAAGGAATAAATAGGATACATTTATAAATTTAACAGGTTTCATTTTTATTTATGTTTCATCAACATTTGGAGGGAAATGAAATCGATAAGCATGCATGAAACACATTTTTTCATATCACCAACTTTCATAAAATGCATCCTCAAAAGATGTGCATACCTCAGCCCGATGTAACTTAAGTCTTTTCTACCACTAATCAACATATGGACCGAAATAAAAATGCCCACTAGACATACATACACACACATTATGACCAAAATCCAGCAAGAAATATATATATACAATACATCAATACAAGTAAGTATTTTATCTCTGATACTGAACACTTTCCAATAAGTACCATGCATATATAATAATATGTAAATAATATATACAGAAATTACATATATATATATATATATATATATATATATATATTTTGAACAATAAAAAATATTAAAAAATTATTAAAAAATTACAATCTTCAGAAACACTGGGTTGTAGATTAATAACATACTGTCGTTTTATTATTATTATTATTTCATTTAGATTCCTCGACTAGTTTCGGCGAAAATGGCCATCATCAGGAGAAGAAATTTTTCTGCTTGCTGGTAGCAGTGAACTACAGAAATGAATGTCTTGATGGAGAAAATGAACTTTTGTCTGTAGTTTTCATTTGTTTTTTTATTTTTTTTTTTTATCTTTTTAACATTCCTTGTGTTGGTCAAACAGTCTCTTTTAAGTTGTTATTTGAGATAAGAGCTGGATGGATCCATGCTGCTCTGAATTCCCCTGGTCAGTTTGACAGTTTTATTGGTTCCTGGAGAGGGGATGTGTCTCTGTTAAGTGTGAGTGTGTGTGCTATTTGGTTCTTAGGGAGTGAGTGAGATGATATGTGTAAGCATGTATATTGCTGTTGGTGTGTGTTATCATTTGGCTCATTAGGGAGTGAGTGAGTATGATGTGAGTAAGTGTGTATATTCATCTGGGTGTGTGTATAAGTGTGAGGCCTCAACACCTCCGTAAGCATGTCTGTCTTGTGTGGGTGAGAAATGTGGGTAGGTTTTGATTTGTTGAGTTATATATTAGTACTATCTATATTGCTAAATTTATGGTTTAGCCCGGCTGGATATTGTGTTTTTAAATGTTGTATCCACTTATTTTCATGGAACTCTAAAATTTTTCTAATGTTATCTTCTCTGAACTTTTCTATTCTCTCTCTCTCTCTATATATATATATATATATATATATATATATATATAAGTAAACCTAAAGAGCCAGACAAACCTACCTAGTTTTCACCTACGTGGATCGTCATATATATGTTTCATTAAAGATGATTGACAAGGTACTGTAATTAAGTATTTTATTTAATTTTCTTGTGTATGTATAAGTGTTTTCTTTTCTGTACATAATGCATGTAAAAATTGTCTAAATGTTTTGTATATATAACATATATTATTTAAAAAAAAATTTTTTTATATGAACATGGCTACAATGTGTTGACCATGTTTGGAAAATAAAAACAAAACAATCCTATAACTCTAGACGCATACATAAAAAATCCATGCATTCAGTTAAAAATAAAAATCATCCTCGATAATGGCTAAAAGAATAGCCAAAAGTGCTTGGATATATAGATATTACTCCGAGTTCAAATTCCTGCTTATCTTTTGTGTTCACTTTCACACTAATACTTTTGGGAATGACATTACTCCATCTTTTCCCACCAACTATGGGTTAAATAACAGTACAGAGCAGCTTCTCTAAGAAGGAGTAGTCAAAAAACTATGAAATCATAGTAATTCATAGATAGTAAAGAAAGGAAACTGTGGAGAGCTATGATCATTTGAAAAAAAAGGAAACTTGCATTTCTACAGACAGTAGCTCATTCATTATTTACATCTGGACTAATGTCCTCATCTTCAGACATTTGGAACGGAACTTTTTATTTAATCTGTGGAGTTGACTGTTCTCGTTCTGCTGTCCGTGTCTTGCATTGTTCTTATTTAACAGAACTGTTCATGCTCACCCTGTTTCCCCAGTCTTCCCCAGGGAGAAGATTCACAATTACTATGTCACCAGATTCCAATCTGGATCAAGTAGAAAGCCAGAGGAGACACTGACCAAAATATTATGATAACAACAACAAAGATAAGGACAATAGTCCGAATGTAAATAGTGTAAATAATGATAACTCCTCATCCCTGAAATCCCGACAGAAATGAACTGAGTTTTGTAATGCCCATTTGTAGGAGAGATACAATAATAGTAATGCCTTTGAACAATCCTCGGTCAAATGCTGCTAATTCCCATATATATATATATATATATATATATATAAAGGCTTAAACACTAATATTCCATGGTCATAATTTATTCCATTGGAATTGTAATGATCTAATTCATCAGACCTAAAATTAGCTCTGATGAATTGGATCATATTTACACATTCCAATGGAATAAATTAATATGGAATATGTGTTTAACCTTTTTATTATATCCTACTGTCCTGACAATGAGTTCTACCTGGATTCTATCCTCTTGGATTTTTTTATTCAAAAATATATATGTATGCTATGCATGTATGTATATATATTTATATATTTTGCATATGTATGTGTATATTACCACTATATATATATATATATATATATATATATATATATATATATATATATATATTTTCCTATACCAGTCATGTGATCTAATTATTTCACGAAGTCGACTGTGCTTGCTTTCTGGTGATCTTTGTTCAAACCAAAATATCAGCAGTGACACTTTATTCCTATATGATACTGAGTTTAGCATTGATAAAGAAAGTTACCACATGTTAACACCATTTTACCAAGTGTTTAAAGAGCAATTTACTGTATGTTTAATATCATTATACCATGTGTCATTAATGTCATTTTTACCATTATTGAGGATACATGCTAGTAGGTTGACATCTAAGACCCACCCTTTCACTGTCAAAATGGTTAAATATAGACATCTCTTCTACTCTAATAGTTTCATGTCTTGCACTTCCTATCTGTGGAACTCCCTTCCTCTTCCTTGCTTCCCTGATAGCTCTAATCTCCAAATATTCAAATGTAATGTCAATCAACATTTCCAGGTGCCTTGATCTAATCCCCATTCTTCTCGTCATTCTTTTTGCTTTTACACCTCTTTACTCTTGTTCCCACTCTCTGTAACCCCTTGCATGCTAGTGACACTCCTGTCTTGCTTGGGGTGAAAAGTTTAAAAAAAAAAACAAATATTAAATCTATAAAAAAAAAATCATGTAAAAATTCAGTTTGAAGTTGTAGATGATGTTACCTTTAGGTGACTTCATGTTTG